TATGGAGGGAAACATTCTCCCACCGCCCATCACATGTGGCAGAAATTTGGCATCGCTGTTCAAGCCTTTAACTGTACGCACCACTTTGTAGGGTTTGTAAGGTTTGATAGTGTTTCCAGTGAAAATTCAAAGCGTCTCTTGTGACACCTCGATGCCAAAACAAAAAAGTACCCTCACTGCAGTGTGCAGCTGGGGGCGGTACTCAAAGCCATTGATTATAACGTACATTTTTGAGAATCGTAAGAAATATTAATTAAAGTGCCAGCAGAATGGGAGTGCTTCAATGTTCATTTGGTGCTTGTTTGCCTAAAATTTTGATACAAGCTACTCAGATTTGTCTACGAGCCCCTGAGGGGACATAATAAAATAAATAAATAAATTACTACAACATAACCCCAGAATGTGTGATTACTGTTGCTGCATATTTCTATTTTATGACACACCTTACATGTCTCTTTAAGTCAAAGACAACAGAGGTATAAGGCATGATAATTAGAAAGGCTAAATAAGCAATAAGCACTTAATTTTGATGAAAGAAACTGCCTCCATAGCACATTTTAAGAATGTGTATGAACATTTTACAGTGAATTGCTATATTTTGAACGTTAATCTAGAGGCTCCATGGAGGGGCCTCTGTTCTTTAAAAATAAAGTTGCTCAGTGAAGGTTTAGGTACAAAAACTACAGGGTTAAGTTTAGGAAAAGATCATGGTTTGGGTTAAAATAAGTGTGTTAATCCAGGAAGTAATGTGGGTCTATCTGCAGCCTTTAGCCTCCTCAGTGGGGCATGAAGCCAAAAGTGCCACTGCTGTAAAGAAATTACCAGAATGAATGCATACTGCACATGCTCTATGGGCACCTACACACCAGATAATATTTGCTTATATTTTAGTCTGAAGCCTCCTTGTTTTCTGATCCACTCAGTTGAGCTGTACATATATTGTTATATATTATATATATTATATTAAGCTGTAATTCAAATGAATACTGCCTGTATACATTCCAAATTAAAAGCCCTCTAGCGTTTCAGTTGGATAGAATCCCTTCATTTCATAACAAGGCTTTTATTGTGAAATATTTGCAGGTACGTCACTTGCACAGCTCCCATGTGGTGCTTCAAATGTAGCTGCTGCCATCTTGTGGCAGTTGTATGTTACATATCGGTTGACATTAACAAATCCACAGTGACTGAAACAGAACAAAAACAATTTAAATTAATTAATTAATATTTTTATGACTTTGGAACCATTATTATTATTATTGGTTACTTATTTGAGAAAATATGGTGTAAAATTGTTGATGTAAAACTAGTTTTCTTTGTCCTTTTTGGCTGCTCCAAGAACTCGTACCGTAACTACTTGAATAGACACACGTTAATGCAACAATCCCCTGACAGAATGCATAAAATATCACAATAAAATATAGATTTTTTTAATGTGTGTAATTTTTTTTATAAATAAAACATATTAACAACAATATTATACAATATCATACAAATTTAATACAAAAAAATTAACTAATCACAAAACACAAGCAGAAAGAAATAGTTAAAATAAAAATCTACATAATACAGAAATGAAGAGAAATAAATAAACAAACATAACTTTTAAAAAGTGAAAAAGCAATGTTGCAAATCAACTTAAATCATCTGGTAATGTTGTCTACAATGTCTCTTAAGAGAGGAGATGTATTTAAATGTAACTGTCTGAAAGTTCAGTGTGTTTACGTAATACCCACACCATACTACTTAGTATGCCAGAAATAGATTTGTTTTACCCAGTAGGATGTCCACGACGTGCCAGCCTGTTTATCTGGTTTTCCGACCCACAATCCTCTGAGCAGTATGAGTATGAGCCCGGGGGTGAAATTTAATGACAAAGTGTGTCCCAATCGTCTGTAGTAAGGTAAAAGCAGCATAAATGTTTTTAAAGTATGATTCAGACATCATGAGCGTGATAAATCTGGAGCATGTTCACCTTTTCCTCACTGACTTATGCATTAGTGAAAGAAACAGACCAGACCAGAAAGTAATAATACTTTCTATCAGTTAAAAAGTGCAAAATGTACTGTGATATTCTTTCCATTGATAAGGGAGCTTAGATAGGTGTTAATAAAAAAAATTACAGCTTAATCTTGAGGCAACATTTAGAACGAGCAACTTTGTCATTTTTAATATACGTTATCTTATGTCTGTCCTACAAAGAAAACATACGTTTGTCAAAAATAAAGGATGTTTTAAAAACAACGTGAAGTTTGATGGAGTGAGAGAAAACCACAGGTCCAGCCACACATTATGTTCATGATGACTGCTGGTTAAGTGCACCTGAAACCCCTTTACGATAAAAAGGTCAAAGGTCACAATGACACAGTGTCGTCTTTGTGCATTTTTTTTAGGGCCATCAGAGCGCACAGGAGCAGGAACTGGACCACAATGCAATGCAACACCAGATTTGGGTTTGAATAATGTGAAAACACATGCTATTATTTACTTTGAGCATTTAAGCCAAACACCAGAGAGAATTTAGATTTAGATATTTGTGGATATTTATTTGTTAATCCTCTTTAACTATTTATAATCTTTTGAGTCAGTATTTGAGATATGCTGTTTGTGCTGAAACACATTCACCATAATATAATTAAATCCTTCATTTAGTTATATTTAGTACTTGGTCGTATGGATCAGGTCACACAGGAAAAATTTTTCAAATTTTTGTTCTTCTTTGCTTAATACCAGTAATTTACTGCATTATTTTGCGAATAATCCCTGACAAAAGGAAAGTTACTGGACTGCTTAAGGTGACAAAAAGCCAGTTTAGGGAGTCAAAACTTTTAAGAATGTGTAAAACTTGAGTCTTCCTGGGCGTGAGCGAAACGGACCTGCAAAAAAGTAGACAGACTGCAGGCACATCTGCACATCTGAAACATCCAGAGAGCTTCGACCCCGGCCTCCATCTGCAGAGCTTCATCTCCCTGCTGCTCCACCAAACCTCCAGAAGAAGACACTCTTCCTCTCTCTGCCTGGCTTCATGTGAACGATGCTTTTGCACTTTACAAGACGGCCTCAGATCTTTAAAACCGTTCTGGTTCTATAAAGATGCATCATGGTAACTCAGGATATAGACAAGATAAAGGGAAGAGGAAAGTCAGTTAAAAATCGTTTGACACACTCAGATGTGGAAGCGAAGTGGGAACAAAATGTGTAAATGTAAATTGTGTTCATTAGTGTGTTATTTGTTTTCACATTTTAACAGGGTAGGTAAAATAGTATTACAGAGAGTATTCTTAGCCCTGAGTTGAGCTTCCCAGGCATACTGTCCTGTCAGACCAAACCTAAGCACCTCTGATGAAACATTTGATTTGTTTTTTGAGTTTGCCGGGAGGCTCTTAGTCTTACAACGTAAAGAAAACAAATAGTATGCAGTCTGACGCTGACGCCAACACCTCTGGGTGGAGCTGCAGTGTTAGTTAAGAAGACAGGTTTGTCTGTCTGCAAATTACAGACAGACGGTTCATGTGAATCAATCAGCTTCACCTTTTACACCAAACAGGATGAATGATTTCAAGAAAAACTGGTTTATTACTGACTGCTGTTTTCAGACAGACTAATGAACCCACGCTTTTCTCTACGCTCAGTGACTGATACGAAATGTATTTGATTAAAGGTGCTTGATTACTTTTAAGAGCACCTCAGTGATTTAGCATTGCCTTTTAAAGCTAGGGACTCAAAAAAGACAAGAGAAGGAAGAGTGAAAGATGAATATCAAAGCAGCAGATACCTGTCAATGATTACCAAACGAAAAATGATTAGATTTATCTTTATTACACACAACCTCAGACTCCTTGGCCTTGGCTTTTTTAATTTTGTGTGAAGAACATTTAAAACAACTTCACACATTCATATTACACATGTGGTGTTTGGGTCCACTGGTTTAATAAAGTGTTGGGTGCCGTGTCCCTTCACTCTGTCCTCCTCTAAGCCTGCTGTTAATGTACGTGTTTGCATATGTGGAAGGGAACCGTTCTGTGTTTTCTCACACTCGGTCCCACCTGCAAATAGCAGGTGGATCACAACAAATGAGAACAGGTTTTTGGCTCTGCATTGCACACGAATGAATGAATGAAGGGGAGATGTTTTCATAATTTGAAGATCACATTTCTGGCAGTTCAGAGTCTGAGTTTGAAGAAGAGGAGGAGATAGACACTGAGCCAGCTCCAAAACAAACCCGCCAGCCTCAGGGCCCCCTCAGCAGCCAGCCACGAGACCAGTTTGTCAGTAACCACCACGGGACCAGTTCGTCAGCAACCAGCCGATCTTTGTCAGACTTTATCACCATGACCAGCAGTTATAGTGTGTGTGTGTGTGTGTAAAAGAGAGAGACATATGAAGTATTTTCATTATTCTCTGTTGCAGCAACAAACAGAAGAGCTGTGAGGTGTGTGCACCCAGGATGGAAATAAAGACACAGTATACATGCACGAGTGCAAGAAATACAGATGCAACACACAACCAAGGAAAACTCTGCCCCTCACGTGTTGAAGAGGCTGGCATGGATGGATGGACTCGCATAAATGTTTTCGTTGTTTCGTTTAAATTGGTTCAAAATAAAATATCCACCAACATTGGTTTTGATTTTACATTTTACAAACAAAAACGGATGGCATTATTATTTATAATATGATCTAACAGGGGTAAATGGTACATTTTAATCAAAATGCTCTTTTTATTGCTTTTAATTGGGATAAAGTAAATATTTGGTATACAATAAAGCGGTGGTTCCACCTCAGAAAACATGAGCCACACAAGGGTTAATTGTGTGAATGCATTTCTTTATTGCAACCAGAGATACCATAATTACATGTCCTGTTCATCTCCTGCAATAAAGAACAGGTGATAACAGGTTTAGTTTGGCTGGGATTCAAATCAACAAACATCCAACACCTGACAACGGGTGGGTTTGATTTCACTCGACAGCCCTCTCCCTCCACCCACTGGCGTGACGGGACAAGAATGCAGCTGTGCAGAGAGAGAGTGTATTTATTGAAGTGCATCTTCCCTCCGCTCACATTTGTTGACTGCTCTCCAGCTCATGTAAGTACGCAGGTTCATCGTCTGTTGTTAGAAATGCAGGTGTTGCACGGGGGAATGAGGCTTTTAGTTGAAACTTGTCTAAAGGTTCTTTGCAGAGTTTGACTTTAAATTAAATAAAAATGTTAGTGTAACGTTGAACAGCTGCTCAGAAGTGATCAGCTAAACACAATAGAAATCCAAATGCTCAACGTGTCGAATTCAAAGTCAAGGAAACGTACACAGCACGCCGAGAAGAGAAGCAAACCTACGGAAGTTTGATAAAACAAAGTTGCATAGGGAAAAAGATTTTGCTCTGTCTTTTGGAATCAAAGACATAATTATTTCAGAATCAGGAGATTCTGCTCTGTTTTTCTAAATAGATAATTATCTTAATAACAAGATATGTTTCTATGGGAACACAGAATTTGCTGTTTATTGAAATTTAAATGGAGAGAAAGTGATGCAGAAAGACTCAGAGGTTTCTCCGGCTTTAAAATGCAAAAGAAAAACTGCATGGGGGGGGGAAAACTGCTTTAAATGGAGAGTTTCAAACTGCTATAACTGAAAGGGCCCCTCCCTGTTTCCTTTTCTTTAGTACTGAGTTATTAAGGAGTCATCTGTTACAAAGACCAACGCCGTCTACAGAAAATGTCCAGCACCTCTCCAGGTAAGATACACAGTTAATCTCTTTATTTTCTGTTTCAGTAAAAGTTTGTCCTGAACAAGTTTGCTCTGTCTTCCTGTAGCTTTATTCTTGAAACAAATCTCTTTAATGGACTTTCTTCTGGTTGGTGCTCCAACAGATGCCCCAGGCGGTGGCCAGAACATTCCACCAGGCGATAAGCAGCCTCACAAGGATGGCCACAAGGGCAAGGGCTCTGGAGGCGAACATGGCCACGGGCATGGACCTGGACATGCACATGGTCCTCCTGAGCACGCACATGCTCATGGTCCTGGGCAAGGAAAAGAAAAAGGGAAAGGAAAAGGACAAGGACATGGACATAGTTAAAAAGGTGAATAGAGGTGAGACACAAAGTTTATTAAAGGCCCTGAAATCCTTTTTCTCAATCAGCTTCTTCATCCCAGCAATGAAGAGGAAGATTTTCTGCCACAGTGGAAAACTTTTGGTTTCAGAAACTTCAGTTTTTGTGTTTTTCTCCGTGCTCTTCTCGCTGGTTTGAAGTGGGCAGGGCTCAGTAGCAGAAAATGTGTTGTCATAGACTTCTACTACAGAGCAGCAGAGAATACTGAATGATCTGAATGAATTAAACTTAATTACAGGGAGATATCTTAATTTTCTGTGTTTTGTCTCATTTTGTCTTCCAGGTAGCGGACACACTGACCACCAGACATTTTGTGAAACCTGTAATTTTACTCTCCCTCTGAAAGAAACTGCATTAAAACATGTAATACTTTAAATAAAGCTACTGTTCCGTTAAATCTGATTTACTTTTCAAATAAAAGAGTAAATGAAGGTAAGGGGTCATTACACCGACTTCTAAAATATTGTTGTTGTTCATTTTCACATTACAACAAAGCACAAATCACATCAAACATGTCTTCATCACTAAAGCATCAACCCATGTCAACCCATAAAAAAAACAAAAAATTTAAAAACATCAGTTTCTTTAAAATATGGGCTGCGAAGCTACAGGGGTCAGTAAAGTACTAGCGGAGTTCTTTTCGCCCTGCGCAGAGCCTTCCAGGCAGACAGTCCTGTCAGACCAAACCTAAGCACCATTATATTGATTTTTCAGTTTATCGGGAGCCTCTAAGTTTTGCAGCCTAAAGAAAATTTCAAAAGTCTTAACGCAGTCTGGTGCTCCAGTCACCACCTCTGGATGGAGCTGCTGGAGGTGTGGCAGGTGGAGCTGGGTGAGTCACCTGCAGGCAGACACTGCAAACCCTAGAAATAATTAAAAGCAAGCAAAACTGGTTTAAATCAACATTTGGGCGCCTGACTGCTGTTTTCAGACTGTGGACCTTTCTTCAAACTCCATGACTGATCACCTTGTACTAAAATTATATATGTCATAAAGCAACATCACAATATCTGACATCATAATTAGGGTTGTATTTTATTTTGGAAAGCTCTCTTCAGAGCCACAAAGGACTTTACAGCTGTGAACTTTATGTGTACAATTGGACTTTAAGACCTGCTGAGAAATATGGGGTATTTTCCTAATTTTTTATAAAGCAGTAGGAAATAAAAGGTTTTGTTTCAGGTGGTCTCAGAAAATACTAAAACACATGTTTTTTTCTCATTAAACATTAAGAAACCCTTTAACTAACTGTTGGGACTCATTAATGGCATTAAACAGATGTTATGGAACATGTTTTTAGAGGTTGGGCTGATAAAATAAAAACTGGTATGTATGTGTGTATAAAATACATATATTTAATATTTAGTTGGGTTTTATGTTGCACTGGATTTGGCTTTGTTACATCTTGGGCTTGGGGAGTTTCGACAATAAGAAAACATAAAAAAAAGCCAGCCTTTCATGAAAACAATCTTAAAAATATAATGTGTATAATTAGTAACAAAGTGTGTGTTTTTTACTTAATGGTCTAAAATATGCAAATTTCTTTATTTCAACAAAGGAGTGTACTATATAAATACAATATTTCCTATAAATAAACATCAGGTCATAATAAGTGGCAAGATTTAGTTTGGCTAAGGAGCAAATCAACAAACATCCAACACCTGACAGGGCGGGGTTTGATGTTCCACGACAGCACCTCTCACTCCACCCGCACGCTGACGTGACGGGACAAGAATGCAGCTGTGCAGAGAGAGAGTGTAATAATTATAGTGCATCTTCCCTCCGCTCACAGTTGTTGACTGCTCTCCAAGCTCATGTAAGTACACAGCTTCAGAAATGCAGGTGTTGCACGGGGAAATGAGGCTTTCAGATAAAACCAGTAAAACAATGTTAAAGGTTTTGAAAGTACTTTGCAGAGTTTGACAAGGTTAAATTGATCAGCTTGTTTCAAAGTAGTGAGTTTTGTCTTTTGTTGACAACCTGAAAAAATGTGCATATATTCCACTTAATTTTAGTATAATGTTAGTAGTGCTGCTTAGTAGTGATGAGCCAAAGACAAATCCAAATGCTCAGCATGTCGAATTTAAAGTCAGAATCTGGAACAAAGTTGTTGCTGTTCATTCAGAGGAAACGTACACAGCACACAGAGAAAATAAGCAAACCTACGGAAGCTTAATTCATTCACAAAAATAAAATGTCTGCTCTGTTTTTCTGAAAAAACAAGACACTTTTCTTAGAATTACAAGAAAAGTTGCATGGGGGGATAAAAGTTTGATCTGTTTTTTTTGGAATTTAGGACATAATTATCTCAGAATCACAAGTTTCTGCTCTGTTTTTCTGAATAAACAATTAATAATGAGACGTGTTGTGATGATTTTGCTCTGTTTTTTGGAATTTAAATGTAGAGGAAGTGATGCAGAAGGATTGTTTATATTTGAACTAAACTACTAAACAAATGCACCCATCCCTTCAGTGCTTCCTAGGAAGATCCTCCCCCTTTAATTTCAAATCTCCGACGTTTCTCCAGCATTGACACGCACAGAACTCTCAGAACGCAGAGCTGAATTTAACAAAAAGTGTAGTGGATCACAATCACCTACTGTCCCTTTAAGACATAATTATCTCAGAATCACAAGATAAGTTGTCATGGGACAAAACTCTGCTCTGTTTTTATGATTTAAAGAGACAATCGTCTTAGATTCATGAGATAAGATGCATGGGAACAAATATTTTGCTCTGTTAACAACAGTTGCTGATGCTAATCATGCTGGCCCTCCAACAACAACAGTGCTCAGCCTTTATGATTTCAAGCACGGGGTAAATAAACTAAAAACAATAATCTCTGTTACTAAGAGACAGGAGTATCTCCCAAAAACTCTTGATCAAACTGAACAAGGACATGTTTGTTCACAAAAAATAGAGTGAAATGCCTGTATTTTTCCATCTACTCAAACTGGTTTATCTGAAAGTTCACCTCCCTGTTTTTGTTTATTTAGTACTGTGTCAATAAGGAGTCATCTGCCACAAAGTCTAACGCCGTCGACAGAAAATGTCCAGTCCCTGTTCAGGTAAGATGCACAGTTAATATCGTCTTGTCTCGCATTTTCAAGTGGGATTGAACATATTTCATCTCCAGCCTGGATATATAGTCTTGTTAGCTTTATTCTTAAAACAAATATTCTCTATACAATGTTCTTCTGATTGGTGCTTCAACAGACGCCGCTGGCTGCGACCAGAACCCTCAGTCAGGGGATAAGAAGTCTCATGGCGGCTGCCACAAGGGCAAGGGCCATGGAGGCAAGCATGATAAAGGAGGCGATCACAAAGGAGGAGACCACGAACACGGGCACAAGAAGCATGGCCATGGGCATGGTCATGGTCATGGTCATGGTCATGGTCACGGACCAGAACAAGGAAAAGAACACGCAGATAATTAGAAAGGTGAATAGAGGTGGGATAACGAGCTTATTAAAGATCAGCTTCTTACTCTGAGCGATGGGGTCCTACATGAACACAGTATTAGTTACTTCCCATCTGAAACTTTAGTTTTTGTGTTTTTTTATTTCTCTGTGCTCACTGGTTTGAAGTGGCCTCAGCTGGAAAAAGTCCTGATGAAGCAGAGGAGGGAGAAACTTAATTTTCCGTGTTTCGTCTCATTTTGTCTTCCAGGCTGCAAACACACCAGACCACCAGACGTCCTGTGAAACCTGTCAATGCACTCTAACATTGAAACATGTGACACTATTACCTTAAATCTGATTTACTTTAAAAGAGGTCATTAAACAGACTTTTAATAATTGTTGTTTGTTTGTTTGTTTTCACATTATAACCCTGTAAACAAAGCACAAATCACAGAAAATCTCTCTTAATTACTAAAACGTCCATATCAACCCATGAAAAACTGTTAATGATTAATAATGGAGTATTAGGGACGTTTAAGGTACATAAAACAGCGCCTTTGTTTGAAGCACCGTCACTATATTTGAGTATGTGCTGTGAGTGCCGTACCAGAGTAGGAGCCCGTTCTTCCCAAATGCTGATACTTTGAGAAAGTGTGACAAAGTGTTGGTATTTCAAGGTACAACGTTGTTTATTTGTCATTATAACACACAAGGTTGTATAACGAAATGCTACACACACACACAGAGAGAACTTAACAGATAATTAAATGTGTATTAAATATAAAATTAATCAAATTAAATAAAACAATGGGCTGTATACAGTTATTTTTGAATACAAAGGCTATATCGGCCTATACATGCATATACACACCCTGAGCACTGTGCAGTGAATTTGTTTAATTTGCCACTGGCTGAAAATTAAACAGCAGCAACAAGATGATAACATGGTCCATCTTAACTGTGTTTGAGCACGAAGCATCACTGGTCTAAAACAGTCCACCTCTTCTATCTTGAGTCTTGCGCTGACAGTGCCGAACACGGACCATCCGCTGAGTGCTTGATCTGGGATGTTGTAAGTAGGCTAGATGTCCTGTCAGGCCAAACTTAATGCCCTTTGATGAAAAACATTGCCACCCAGAGTTGCAGCCAACCCCTCTGGGTGAAGCTGCACTGACAATTAAGGTGACAGTTCTTAAAGGTGAGTGAGTCAACTGTCTGTCTGTCTGTCTGTCTGTTAATAATATCAATAATTACAAGCAAGTAAAACTGGTTCCAATTTGCGTTTTGACGTCTGACTGCTGTTTTCAGACAGACTGTGATTCTGTCTGTTTCTCAATGACTGATCTTCTTGTACTTAAATGATCAATTGTAAAATTAAATGCACACAGTTTCTTTTTTTCAGTAAAACTTTCAACAGCACCTCAGTGATTCAGTCCTGCATTTCCATAAAGCTGGGAGAAAAGGAAATTCTAAGCAGTGAGGCAGAGATATCCTGACTGAGTCAAGGTCCAAATACACCGGATCCTACATTTCCCATAATGCAACTTTGTAATGTCTTTGAGCATTATTAGGGTTTCATTTATCTCTTTTCAGAGCCATGTGAACTTTCTGTGTAAAACTGGACTATGAGACCTAATAATAATAATCCCAGACTGAGAAATAAGGGTTATTGTGAGATTAATGTGGACTGGTTTTAATAGTTTTTTTTTTTCCTGACTTTTTTTAAAAGAGGTAAGAATTTAAGTTTTAAGTTTATGTAAGGAACTCATTATTTGCATTAAATGGGTGTTAACAATATTTTCAGGAACATGTTTTTAGAAGTTAGGCTGAACTAAATTAAAAATGTTGTCCATTTGCACATAATGCATGTAATCATGAAAATGTATACTACTGAGTGTTGATTGAAAAAATGTTGCATGGGTAAAATAGCTTACAAGAAATCCTAGTGGTGAGACTACAGTCTACAGTGGCAGTGGATTTGGCTTTGTTATTTGGTATTTTGTCATAACCAATAATAATAATTAAAAAATAATGGGTTACAAACAGGTAAAGTTTAGTCAAAGCTTCACTATACTGAAAATCAGAGACTTACTGACTTTTCAAAATTAAGATTAAAAGCAAATTCAGTTGTCTGGAGGAATCACATAATGACTTTCAGCTTCTCAACCTGCAATAAATAATCCATCATACAACCTCAGCTAAAAGAAAATAATGAAAACAGTCGTTTTGCAAATATTTGCTCAATATAACTTACTTTGTGGTTCAAAAGGACGAAAAGCATAGTGGAACATGAGTCCTGAAACATGCACACCACCTAAAGACCCTACAGTTGAAAGTATTTTATGTATTATTTTTTAGTGAATGTTTCCCGAGTAAATTCATTTCTTGTGTGTGATTGAAGTCGATCTGAACTGGTAGTCGTCTCCTTCTCTGCTGCCAAAAGATATGAAAGCCAGAGTAGGTAAACATTGATTTACCTGGGACTAACCTCTGGTTATGTTGGGAACCTGCTCAGGAAACATGTCGGATGACAAAGCCGCCCTGTTGAACAGGTGACTGACTTGTAATTTTCCTGAGATACTTTATGCTCCATCTGTGCTTTAATCAACAACATGAGACCTGTTTCAAATACTCTGCTTGCATTTTAGTGGAATTTACATGAACAAAACTGCTATGAATTCCCAACAAAAACAGACACATATTTGTGTGACTTTTTACGTCACAAAAAACCATTAAAATATGGCAAAAAAAACGGATTTGGATGAAAGAAAATCACTGATGACACCAAGTGGCAGCAAGATGAAACTGTTAAAGTTAAAAGACATTTTTCTTCCCCTGTGACATAGAGCTCCATTGCTGTTCAAAAAGCTGAGCACAAAACAATGAGCCACACTGATGCACTGGCTCACATGTCCCACATCCACCATCCTGCTTTCCTAAATACTCACTAGACCACCAAACGTGGATTAATCCACCACTTAAAATAGTGTCCAATAAATGCACTAATGCAACCCTTTGTGGGGTCCTGACCTCCTGCTCCACATATATCTGATTTGGTTTCTTCTTGGCTATGAGGGACAATGGCATACCTGATAAGAAAGGTTAAGTAAATATTATATAGATGATGAGCTGCTCAGAAAAAAATTATCCACCACAAAGACATATTTCAACTTGAGAAACAAGAAATCTCTTCCAGCGCCCAGTAGTTCTGTGGATGGCAATTTACCTCAAAATGACTTGTAATAACTTTTGGTTATCCTCTTAATTTTCCGCTAGCGCCCTCATCAGGTCAACTTTTTACTTTACGTGCATTACCAATACATTAGCTTATGACCAAATGCCAAATTCTGATGTCCCGATGCTGAAATTATTGAATAAATAATCAAAACTAGCAGATTAATTAGTAGAATTATGCTTTTTTTCTTTCTTTCTTGGGTTACAGGTTTAGTAAGTGTGATTAGGAAAAAAACCATTAAATTTGTCTGTGATCCGTTTGAAGACCCTGAATTTGTTTGATGTGACAATATATACATGATTATAATTATATTAAAGGTATGAGGAACCCTTAAACTGAGAAATTAAAAAATGGATTATATAGATTTGGAAACACTTAATTATCTTCACCCATGTTACATTCTTAACACATTAAATTATAATAGTTGAAATTAGGGTGTTTCATCAGAGAAATATCAGAGTTCAGGGTAGAATGTATTCATATCATATCATACTGTTCCTTCAGTGGTGTAGCCCACAGTGAGAGAGGTAGGCCTAGTATGTTTGTGGAAAAAAAAACAGAAAGAGCACCTGAATGAAGTCCAGCAAAGGTACGCTGTAAAAAGAAGAAGAAAGAAAGAAGAAAGAAAGAAGAAAAAGAAATTAAACAGAAAGAAAGAAAGAAAGAAAGAAAGAAAGAAAGAAATTAAACAAGAAGAAAGAAAAAAGAAAGAGGCAAAAGAAAAAAGAAATTAACAGAAAGAAAGAAAGAAATTAACAGAAAAGAAAGAAAGAAAGAAGAAAGAAGAAGAGAAAGAAGAAAGCAAAAAGAAAGAAATTAAACAGAAAGAAAAAAAAAGAGAAGAAAAAAAAGGCAAAAGAAATAAAGAATGATGAATAAACAAAAAGAAAAGAAAGAAATTGAGGAGGGAAAGAAAAAAGTAATACTGAATTTAATGAAATGCATGAAATTAATTGTCCTGATGCAATTTAGATGTGGCTTTGGCAAAATATGTAGCTACACATTCATGCCAATAAAGCTAATTTGAATTTAAATTTGAATAAAAATGAAAAAAAATGAAAGAAAAACAATGACAGAAACGACACAATAATGAAAGATCTCTCTGCTTACTTTACTTGCCAGAACTTGAACACCTTGAACATGAGGGGTGAAACAGACTGAGGTTTACGTGATGCACCTGAAGTCGATGACGCTGCACGTCGCCGCTAGGGGCGTGGTGACATCATCGATAATGTAATGCAGCTGAAGGAGACTGAGGGAGTCTCTGAAGTGTTGGGACGGTGGAGAACAGATGGTCATGGCAGCGAGCTGACACAAGCTGCTCTGAAGGGCTGGAGAGAGACTTTACAGGACGAGAAACGGTTCAAACTAACCATTAGTGAGGCAGAGCGCGAGGCATCACCTGCGGGAGCTTCACCTGTTGGAGAACGACGTCTTTTGCTGCTCTTCTTTCTTGCTGGTCCGTGTGTGAAAGGTTTGCTCACAGCTTTCTGCAGAGATCAGCGTTTCAAGTAAGCTGAAGGTCCTGAGAATCAATACAAAGGTGTCAGATAATGCAGTTTCTTAAGGTAGTTGTGTTTTTACTTCTCATGTTTGCTTACTTTGTGAAAGCTTCGTGTGTTTGTTTGTTTGTTTTTTGTTTGTTTGTTTTGTTTTTTTGAAGTTTCATTTGTATGTTTGGTAATGTATTAAAAAAAAACACCCATAGCCAATACAATAAGTTGCCCAATTCTTCACGCAATTGCAAATTTTATTTTATCAATCAATCAATAAAAGCCAAATGAATAATCAAATTAGAAAACTAAAACAAATAACATAATTCGTTATAATATTTTACACTTTAAAAATATTTTTAGTTCCTTCCAGCTTTAATCTAAATGGGGAAAAAAGTTATGAATGATTAACACTGAGCTCTATATATATATATATATATATATATATATCTCTTCCAATAGTTTTCTCTATAATAAATCATTTGATTAAAAAATTGTCAGAAATAGTAAAAGTTGACATATTTAAATTGCTTGTTTTGCCCAACCATCAGTCCAAAAATCTTAAGATATATGGTAGTTTGATGTCTCCATATATAATTAATCAATTAATTTAATTCATATATCAGAATATGGCTGATTAATTAAGGGCAAAAAGTGTCTGTGAAATTTA